CATTGAGATTTTTTGCTTACATGTAGCTCCATAAGGTCAGAACTATACACTTTACCTCAACTAACCTACAGAGCATAGAGTCTCTCTGGGTTTGTAGAGGACAGAGACACGTGAACTGTGAAAGGGGTTAGTGTAATGTATGGTTTATTTATTTAGAAGTTTGTTCTTTGGGAAGAAAAATAGAAGGGCCCACTTCTATACAAAACAGAATGGGTTTTCATTTGAAGATCATAGGAAGAGGCAGTGAGTAAAATATCCAAACATAAAGAGACAGAGAGACACGTCTGGCTTTATCAGCTGGAGACAGACCAGGAAATACCTTATTAAACATCACCATCTACTGGATGCCAGCAATTGTTCCTTTTAAAGGAAACTGTAAGCTTGTATGCTGAATTAACTTGTCAGACAAGTTGATGCTTTCACAGACCTGGCTCTGCTTGTAAAGTTTGTGCATCTTTTCCATACCAAGTTGGGAAAAGATTTTCAAAATTACAGAAACTCAGAAAGTTTAGGGTGATATAACAAAAGCTATGAAATGGCTAATAAGGCAGAATGAGCACCTACAAAAAGAAGGTGGGAATAATCAGGCATGGAGGCAATAGCATCCTTTGGGTCATTCATTTATCTTCTTGTGGAATTTTGTGTAGATACACACACACACATTCCTGATGGAGTTGAATGATTCTCCTCCTGGGTAGTCTGTGCTTATTGCAGTTCCATATTAACTTTTCACTCTGTTTGCTGCACAGATAAAGTTCAACCATATTTGTGTGATTTCACAGCATCAGGGCTGGCAGTTCACAGAGCTTGCTGAGGTCAAAAGGCACCAGTGCAGCCCTGCTCTAGCTGTTGAGCTGGACTAGGTGGGCAATGAAAGATCCTCCTTCCCGTCCCCACTGAGAGCAGAAGTCTCCAGCCCCACACTGAAGGATGCCACTTCCCTTGCCTGGTGCCCTCCCTTCACTTCCACGTCTTTGTCCATCTTCCTCTACAAGCACCAGAGAAGCCACAGCATAAAGGGCAGCAGTGGGTGACACAAGTATCCTCCTCTGTGGCAGAAGAGAGACAGAATGGAAAAGTGCTTTGAGGACCCTCCTCTTTCTTTCCCTTTGCTTTCTCTTGTTGCATGCATAAAACTGGTGACCCAAGATACCAGAAAGAAGCAAATTCTTTAGAGAAATCACTTATTGCTGACATTTAACAGCCTTGAGAAGGGCTCAGAAAAAAACTGCAAAGACAAAAAAAAAATTCCCTTATCACTGAATGATGTTCTCAAGCCATCATTACAGTTAATTTATCAAAAGAAATTATTCAATAAGTATTGGAAACAGTAAAGCTAAGATTTTGGAGGATGTTTCAATTTGTTTCAAATTTGACCCTTTAATTAATACAGATTCTTATCTAAAGAAATTTTTGTGATAAAAATCTATTCTTGGATATATGCTTTCAAAGGTGTTGCCAGTGACAGCATCAAATGCAGGAGCTCTTAGCTTAATGCATCGATTTTAAAGTTTTTTTTTAATTTTCAAGATGAAAATAACTCTCAAAAAGTAAACACTGAGATGTGGAAAGGACCAAAATAAATGGGAAATCTATCTTGTTTGAATTGGTGCTGATTAAAACTGTTTCTTGCAAGGAGTCACAGAAAACCAGAAATGGAGTTGCAGGAAGACCTAAATAGATTCATGCTATGTCAAAGCAAAGAGAATGACAGACACTGACAGTTATGAAAAATTAATTTATTATATCCTTGTGGAATACTGATAGGTGCCATACTTTACTTTTATGGTACTATCAGCATATTTGGAAAGAAAGAGGTGTTAGAGTCTACCAAAGAGTCCTGGCATCAACACCCGTATCAAAGCTCCTGTGTAGTTCATTTGTCTGGGGAGGATATGAGGTGAAACAGTTTCCAACACTTAAGTAAACATCATGCAGGATTACACAGGAACAGATCAATAACAAATTGTATTTCTATTGCTGCATTTATCTTCCAAACATTTTGCAGTTCAAAACAGAGAACCCCTCAGGCAAATTGCTGTTAATGGCAAGTCATGCTGATATGAATAAAGTTGAAAAATGTTTTGTTTTCATGTGCTGTGTTGGCAACAAGGAAAAGAAAACACTGCAGCAAGATGAAATGGTGCAATACCCGAGTGCTGATAGAAAAGATATTTTACATGTAAGTTATAGAAACAAATAATTCTGTTGTCGTACAGAGCACATGTATCTGATCATTTACTCCGGACTATACAACACACTGTTGAATTTTGGTGGATTAAATCATTACAAAATTGACCTAAAACAAAGGAAGGCTCCCTAGGCTCTCAGTAGAGACCTAGAAGGGAAACAGATTTATGAGAAGATGATCTGTTCACTGGGTAATGTGCCTGGTATGAATTAGCTCTGAGAGACACCTTTTCTTCTCCACTGGCTCTAAGGGGAGACTGAGGTGAACAGATTAGACTGAGAACACTAACTCTGAGACAAAGTTAGGCAAGAGGTGCTGCATGCTTCAAGTACAAGTTATAGAGCCATGAATTAGTTTGGGTTGGAAGGGACCTTTGAAACTCATGTAGGTCAATCCTCCTGCAATGTGCAGGGGCATCTCTAAGTGCATCAGGCTGCTCAGAGCCCTATCCCATCCAGCCTTACTTTGAATGCTTCCAGGGATTATATATATATATATATATACATATATATATGTGTGTGTGTGTGTGTGTCTGTGTGTGTCTGTGTGTGTCTGTGTGTGCACAATTTTTGAACAGGAAAATTCTGAAAAGCCAAATATACATGGATATATGTTTTAACAGTTCTACTTCATAATCAGATTTTATTCAGTAATAAGCAATATGGTTAGGACCATGATTCTCAACAGACATAACCCAGAACAATATTGAAAATTTTTAGGCATAAGCGATGCTGTAACATCCTTGGTACTTGTGGTTTCAGCTAGCCCAGTTCTATACCTGCCCCATCCTTTCTGTCTCCCAAAGGCTTAAATCATACATTCAGGTGGATTGCTGACTCCCACAAGAGGGAGTGGGGAAGGATTTTCCACCTGCCATAGCTTTTGGGGTCTGTGCTTTGCTTCAGCAGGATTACAAATGCTTGCTGCAGGGTGGAAACTAGCTAGTCCCTAGGCTGGACCCCTAACTCAGTTAATCCCTGTGTTGATGATGATGATGGCTAGAATTCATTAGTGTCACTAAGGATATTCTGCCACCATAAGAATCCTGCCCTTTAAGAACAAATAGCTACATTTGGCTCCATAATTCCAAAGTATCCATGTTCAGTGTCACACTGGATTTTGATCACAAAAGATTCAACACAACAATATGCAGCTGAGAAGTTTTATCATACAATGGAAATCCTGGTCATGGTGGACCAAATTGTGATCACTTGTGCCAGTGCTCAGGCCAGTCAAAAGTCAGAGGGTCAAATGAGATTTTACTGCAGCCTCAAACAAAGCCACTGGAACCAGATGCTGAACTGTCCCAGTGAGTTACAGTAAGAATTGTCACAGGCACATGTGGTCAAAGCCATACATAGCATTGCTTAATGAAGGGAAAAGGGAACATGGAAACAATGAAGAAATGGTTGACTGGAGCAACCAGTAATGAAAGAAATAAATTTTACACAGTTGAGGGAAGAGGTGTAAGCAGAACAGCAGAAAGTTTGGGCTAAATGCCATTTTTGATCTTGGGACCCTCTCACAAGTCTGCCTTGGGTCTGAAGTCCATCACTTATTCTTATGATGAGGTTTTTGGCCTTTCAGCAGATATGGGCACACCATATTTGGTAAATATGGATTTGATAGATGATAGCTGGTCTGACAATGCATCTCTGCAGGAGTGGAAGTGGTCATATTCTGCTGCTTTGTAGTGCTGGTGGTGTCAATGACTTGAGGTGCAACAGAAGACTGGAAGAGAGGAGAAAGGAAACAGCTGTTCATGAGCTTTGCGTTTGTGACAGCCCAGCAGTACTTGATGACTCAAAGAACGCTTCACAATTCATCTAATTTAACATTTCAGGGCTGCTTGTTACCACAAGTCATACTACAATTTCCCAGTCCTTATCTGGAACAGCACAACACCTAACATTTTGTTTTAATGAGAATTTATTAAAACAGTAGATGTTGCAGAGATCAGACTAGATTTCCATCCTACTGACAATTTTGTTCTCTGGAAAAAGTAAAGACCACTTTCTGTGATTCTCTCCTGCCATCTCTCAGTCAGCATGCTGAAACAGAGCAAAGCAAAGCCACGTCTGCCAGATGAATGTACAAAATGAAGATGTTTGCTCCATCACCTACAAAATTACGCCGGGAATTAAGGAAATATAGATAGTGACAGATAGTGCCCAGAAGGGTCCCACCACTGGCCCTGTGGCTGTCAGAGGCAGCTGCGAAGCGCAGAGCGCCCGTCGGAGGGGAGAACAGGGAGAGCCCTGGTGGGACGAGGGGACCCTGCGGCCGCCCCCTGTCTCGGCCTCGGCGGCCCGGGAGCTGCTCCCACACCGGCCGGAGCCACCGCCGCCGGGAGTTAATCATTAAATCCCGGCAGATCCGCTCCCGGCCCGCTCCCCCGAACCTCCTCGGCCTTCAGCCGCGCCCTGTCCCCTTCTGGCCTGACGGAGCGCGGCGGCGGCAGGGGAAGCGGAGGCAGGGAGGGGAAGCGGAGGCAGGGACGGAGACACCTCCCTGCCGCCGCCGCCGCCCGCGGGCCCGGTGCAGGCGGAGCCCCGGGGCGGGCGGGCCGTCCGTGCCCGCTCGGAGCCGCGCCGCCTCGCTGGACGGCGCCCTAGGGCACACCTGTCCCCGCTGCCGCCCCCGCATCGCCTCTCCTCCCCTTCACGGCGGCGCTCGGCCGACACGGTCTCCGGCCGCGGCGCAGAGCCCCGGCCCACGCCTCAGCCCCCGCCCGGCCGCTCCCGTCCCCTCCCGCCGCCCATGGGCGCCGCCCGCGCCGCGCCGGGGCAGAGCCGGCGCCGCTGAGAGCATGGCCAAGGGACCCGAGCAGGGGGACGCCTTCCTGCACCTCCCGGCCGCGCAGGCGGCGCCCGCCGAGGCGCAGGAGGAGCGCTACGCGGGGCTGCTGGGGCCGAGCTTGCTGCCCTGCGCCCGGGAGGCGCTGCCCGAGCCGCCGCTGCCCGCCGGCGTCAAGGCAGGTAAAGGCGGGGAGCCGGCACCGTGTCCTGCTCGGCCCGGCCGCGGCGGGCACCGGCAGCGCCGCTCGGGCTCCGCGGGGACGCGGCTGTCGCTGTCGGTCCGTCCCTCAGCCCGCGGCGGGCAGGGCGGCGGGCGGGAGGGGCGGCTTGTGGCGGGACCGTAACGATGCCCTCGGGCCTCTCTTCTTGTCCCCGCGGCGCCCAGAAACACGGCTCGGCAGCGAAACCCTCTCGTCGGAAGAAGAGGATGCGGATGCCCGCGACGGCGCGCTGACAGCCGCCGACCAAAGCCCGTGTTCGAAGAGGAGCATCACGCAGATCATGAAGGACAAGAAGAAGCAGACGCAGCTCACCCTGCAATGGTAGGGCTCCAGAGAGACCCCGCTGCCTGCCCTGGGGGCTCCAGGACCGAGCCGTCACACTCAGAGGGACCCTTCTCTAACAGCTGAGCCGGCGAGGAGGGCGACATCTCTTTTAGAGAGAATTTGTCATTTTTGGGGTGTTTCGTTTGTTGGTTTTTGTTTTCTGTTTTTCTTTTGCGGGTTTCTTTTGAATGAGCCTCATCTACAAATAAGACACCCATCCCCAAATTTCCGAGTTTTGAAATTATCGAAGGTTTGTCACTTAATAGAAGTCTTGGTCAGATTCTCACACTGTGTGGCTATCAATGAAATGTTTCATCAAAAGGTAGAAAGGAAATATTATTTAAGAATTGCATTTGTGAACGGCTGCTTTAATTATCCTTTAAGGCTGTGACAGTTAGATTTTCACTGTCTTATAATGCATTTCTTTTTCATTATGTTCTCCCATCCACTGAGGCCCTAACTTTGGTTTATTTTGTCTGGGGAAAAACGTTAACCAAATAAGAGGTCAAATTCTGCAGACATTAATTGATAAATGTTTGTATTAAAATACACTTGACATTAGGGAGGAATTCTGTTGAGTTAAATGGGAACTCAATAATGAAATGCACACTGTCAATAGAGATATTTTTTCCTTCTAACTGAAAAATTAGACTAATCCAAATTATTCAGTTTCTTATTCTAGTTTACTTCTGAGTGTAAATAGTTAAGGATTTGAGTCTGGTGAGTCACTGCAAAATTATTCAATATGCAGCTTTTACTACACAGTATTTTCTTACAAATTTGTGTAATTGGAGAAACAAATTTATTGCACATCATCCCAGGAGTAGTGAACAATGTAAAATGATAAAGAAAAAAACCAACAGGACAGAGAAATACCCAGCTGCTACAAGGGTTCTCTTCAAGTGAAAACAGTCAGGTTTTTGCTTCAGTTTTAAAAATTTTACTTTAATGACCATCACTCAGCACTTGTATTCTGCAAACTGATTGGGAAGCTACATAGAAATTCACCTTCTTTAAAAAACACTGTTCTTTGTTTTTCCCACTGTGGTTTGAAGCATTTCCAGGTCCAGAGTGGAAATTAAAAAGCAATACAATGAAGAAAAGAGACATTAGCTCAGGTGTTGAGGATACAGTGGGACAGAAGATGCAAGTCCAGGTCCCTGCTCTTAAATCCTTTCAAAGGACTGACTTAAACTGAGGTCTTTCATGTCTTATTTTCAAACTAAGGCTGGCTCTTAGGTGATGATAATTTAGTAATTTAAATAAAGCAAAAAAGTCCAGACATTGAAAAAGACTCATTAACAACAGGCGTCTGGCTCCAGATTTTCCATATTCTGCAGCTAGCCTAAGTACCAAGTGTGGAGTCTCTCTGTAGTGCCTGTCATGTTCAGGAGAAACTCACCTGTGTGCTCTGATGGAACTCTTCAGTAAAATTAAAAAAAGGGGTACAAGCAAAAAAAAGAGCAAAACTTGGAAATGCAATCAGGAGAAATGGCATGTTGCTTCTTACTCTGGCAGTTTCTTTCTCTACACAGGCTGGAAGAAAACTACATTGTATGCGAAGGAGTTTGTTTACCAAGATGCATCCTTTATGCACATTATTTAGACTTCTGCAGAAAAGAGAAACTGGAACCTGCCTGTGCTGCAACTTTTGGGAAGGTAATGAGCAAATGCCTTAATAATTTGTTAGATCTGTTGTTTGGAAGAGTCACAGTTCAGTACATCTGTGTAAGAATTCTTCTGAAAGTAACATGTTTTCTACTGCTAATGTACATGGAATCAGACTAACTATAATCACACTGTGTCCTGTGAAGGCATTTCTTAACATCACCTTTAGGAGATTGAAGCTGAAATTCCCTTTGATTTATTATTGTTTTTACAAAAAAAACCCCAAAAAAACAAAAAAAAAAACCCCAAAAAAACAAAAACACCAAAGAAAAAGGCATTCTTTCTGAGTGCTTCTTTTCTTTCCCTTTTTGTTCATGTTCTTTCCACCAGATCTGACATGGAGGACACTTATAATAAAGGCAGTGTAAGGTGAGATGTGGCACAGGCAATACTAGTAGAAGGGGAAAAAGAAGTTAATAACACAAAGAGCTTCCAAATGAAAAATTGTTGATTCGTTCTCTTTTCTACCCTTCTCTACGATTAATCCTAAAGTGATTTAATATAAGAGAGATGTGAATTCTCCAAATTAAATCCTGAGTGTTTAGTGAAACAGGAAACCAAAAATGCTTCAAGGATCATCTTTTTAAAACAGTACTGATCTAGTAATGGTTTATACATAGCAAAATGCATTAATTTAATTAAATAATGGATTTAATGGATTTTCTGGTTCATAAAATGTTAATTTCCTATTTTATTCCTCTTGAACTGGATATATGAAAAAAGTGGATATCTAATTTTCATATACAGTTTCAGTATAAATGAGAAAGACAATAGGTTCCATTTAAATATTATTTTGACAGTGATCTGTCTATTGGATATATCTATTAGATCTATCTCTATTACTGAATTAATTTTTCAGATCACACTTTCAAATAAAAAAAAATAAGTTTCATTCTAGTTGTTTGTCTTTGAAAACAGAATAGCTAGAGGGCAGAGTTTCCCCTGATTTTGTTTAAATCTCTGAAGCAAAAAATACAGTTGTAGTTAAGAAGCTTGAACACAATAGGATTCTGGTGAAGAAAACTAGATTGTAAAATGTAAAAGTGAAATCAGAAAGGGAAAACAGGTGGGAAGACTGGAGATAGACAGCAAGGTGGACAAGGGTGGAAGAAAGCCTTCAGTGTGAAACATGGCCTAATCGTTTATGTTGTGCCCTAAGTGTCAAAAATGCTAATTCATTAGCTACCTTAGACAATATATTTACACTACGATTTTTCTATAAACAGATTGCTAAGAAAGTTTGCCAGTGTTAGAAATTAATGCAGTTATTTTCTCTTCAGACCATTCGCCAGAAATTCCCTCTCCTTACCACAAGGCGGCTCGGAACAAGGGGCCATTCAAAGTAAGGCACAATTACCTGTGTATCTGCTAATAGAACACAGTTTAGGAATCATCTGTGTTTCCATGTCTCCTTAATATGTGCTAATTGGCAGGGGAGTTTATTCAGATGGTACACTGCAAGTGATAACTTTCATGTACATGTTGAAACTGATGCTCAAATTCAAGCATTAAATTTGAAAACGCTGCTGCATAATTTTTAAAATTAAACTGATTAAGCTTCTAAGTCTTGTCATTGCATTTATAGACCCATGCATATGTTGCAAATATATGTAAAAATATTAGATATAAAAATCATTTATAATACATGTTTTTTTATAGCTTCTCATCTTTCCATAAATAGTGATTTTATTTCTCCTTTGCAAGCCTAACAACTTTCATTGTGTTCTCTGTGTAACAATATGGGTTCACCTAAATACATCACCAGAAAAAGCATTGTTTTAAATTGAAGTTAAGGTATACTTCTGCTCTTTGTTGTTGGTATTTTATAAAACTCTGAAAAGTACACCATCTATAGCGCAGTCATTTCATAAATAATGTATCCTATTAATTTGTATATTTGATCTGTAAAATATTAGGTTGTAGGAATAGATCATAGACAACTCTATATCACTTGGCGCTAAAATTTTTATTAGTTCTGGTTCTGGAATTATGCTTTTGGCCATGAATAATTTAGTGTAAAACTGTTGTGAAGAGTGGTAATAACATATTCCATCACATCCATTTTGTTAGTGAATAAGATAGAAAACCAGAGTAATGATAGAAATAGGAGAAACTCAAAACATTCTGTTTGTTTGGGAAAACTCTTTATTTTGATCTACTTAACCTTGAAAGACAAAGTTACTCTTGTCTTTCAGTAGTTTATAAGCAAAACTCAAAACAAAAGGAGATTGAAAAGTAAAACATCTACAAGGCTCGTTTTCCTAAGTGCTTTGCAGTATTCTAGAAATGTCTGAAAGATAATTTTTTTATGGTCATAGTTTTGGGTAGTTATTAAATGTTGTTATACTTGGTTTTCTTCCTGCCTTAGAAATACAAGAAATAGCTAGTTATTCCACCTTAGTTTAGCTGAAGAATAAATCAGATGTAATTTGTGAATTTTAGGTATTGTTGCAGAAAAAATGAAGGCGGGGAAGAATTTAAATTCAAAATTTTTGCAAAGACATTCTGTTTCTTGAGCATGCCTCAAGCATTTATTTTAAATAACCACTAATAAAAAATAAAATCCAAAGGAAATACTGTCTTTGTAGAACATTATTCCTTTTTTTGATTTTTTTATTGTTGGTTTTAACAGAGGATAGTTCTTGCGTAGTGTCTCGCAGTCTTACAAATTTGTAATCCATTCACCTCTTTTAGGAGACAGCACACAGCCTGCAATGTATAGAGGAAAACTGGCACTGAGGTTCATATCTCTTTTTGTAGGTGACCAATAGATGCTGAGTAGAGGTGTTTTGAGAAGGGCAGCTATTAGGAAGGTTATTTATTAGGGAAAAGAGGGATTTTGTGTATTGTCTGCTCTGGTGAACTTAAGTTGTCATTACAGGCATAAGATGGTGTAGACATAGCTTTGATGCTGGTGTTCTGTTTAAGATTTTAAGAGATCTGGCATTCACAGTCTGTGCAGGAATATTTGACAATGTGCTAGTTCATCATTGCTGTGGTGAATTCTTAGGTACATAACCCAACATATTTGGTGAACTACTTAGTTACAATGAATGAGATTATGCAAGGGACAAGTCTCCCACGTGCTCATTATATACTTGTTCTGACATAACTAACAGACTGACAGACAGGATCCAATGAGGATCCAAACTTCCAAACATGCCCTGTGTCTGCATGGTTTAAGCACAATAAGTCAACCTTTATTAAGTAAATGAGTATGTTTCAAATGTGTATATAGCTACAAAATTGATTGTATTGGAACATGTGTCACTGCAGTCCTCTTTTCTCGAAGACATGAAAAAATTAATATAGAAATAACACATGCCCAACATTTCTTTGGCAGATTCCACATCCCTGTTGACCTTGTTGGTATTATGTGCCATATTTTCATATGGATTAACTGTTCTTGAACAATTTCCTCAAAGAACTGAGGCATCATCAGGTTTTGTTTGAACATCTGGCACTTGCTGTTCTGTATTTTTTCATCAGTTTTCCTCAGAGGCTTTTCTTATTCAATTCTCATTTCTGCTAAGATGCACTTACCTTGATCTTGCTGTGCTAAAAAGGACCTCACAAAAGACACAAATGACAGTATTTCCAGTTCAGAGACCAAATATAGCAGCAAGCAGTCATATAGAAGTGTCAGTATGAATATTAGAATTATAGAGGCATAGAATGATAGAATAGTTGGGGTTGGAAGGGGCCTTAAAGATCATCTGGTGTAACCCCTGTGCCACTTTATACTCAGCCAGGTTGCTCAAAGCCTCATCCAATCCAGCCTTGAACATTTCCAGGGATGAGAGATCCAGAGCTGCTCTGACCAAACTTTGCCAGCACCTCAACACCCCCACTGGAAAGAATTCTTTCCTAATATCTAATCCAAATCTACCCTTTTTAGTTTAATGATCTCTGATAATCAATTTTTCTATCTGTGGTGTTGCGGGCCGTGTCCCTCTCAGAACTACAGACTTGCTGAGGAGCAAATGAATTTCTGATTTCACCAGGTAGCAGTTAGTCACACAAATGTTATTTACAGAAGTATTTCCATTAAATGAATATTAAAGTTAAAGGACTGTTCATCAGTTTCAATAAATTGCTAGTTCTTCTCTTTTTATGTTAGCATGGACTCCAAATGTTACAAGCTGTTTCTGAGTCACTGGGACTAGTAGGAGAGTTGTTACTAGCAATTAAGTAATATTTTAAAAGCACAGTAGTGTAGTGACAGGGTAGTATTTCTGTCACTGCTATCTTTATTACCATATAATGCTAGCAGGAGCAGTATTAGAACTCACTATTCCCAGCAGTGATGTTTTATATAGCAACATTGCCCTGGAGCTCTGATCATTGTCCATGACTCCAGATGCTGCAAAAGCATAAAAAGGAAGAAGACAATTCTTCTCCAATGGAATAATTGTTCTTAAATTTAGAGAAAAGTTAATGCCCTGCAAAAAAAAAAGTGCCTTCCTGGATGCTGCAAGCATACACAGCAATCTATTGTTAGGGCCTCTCTGTGATCAGAAGAAAGCAAAGAAAATAATTTCCTTTTCCCATCATCTTCAAGGTGGTGGAAATTGTTTTTCTCCCACTCTGAAACAAGCTCTTTCTGGCATCCTCATGAGCATGAATTGGATTTGAGGGAAAGCTCCTGCACTAACATATGGAATGCAATTGCTGTTGTAAGGCATGAGATACACAAATGTTAGCTCTTCCTCTGTTCCCAAACAGCATTTGTCATCTCTAATTCAGGGCAAAGGATAAACTTAAAACTGAGTCTGGTGATTCCTAGAATTCAAGTCAGAATCTCTCTTTCTCTGTGTTTACATCCAACAACCCATTTGTGCAAAAGTGTCAGTACTTAAACTCATTTAAACATTTGGCCAGGAAGGTCCAACACATTGGACACAATTTTGTTAACAAAATATGTTAGTCTCTCGTGCCCATGCTAATCACTCTACAGAGCTGGAAGGAAGGGAAATTTTCTGTTTTCACTCTGCTGAGTGAAAGAAGATGCAGCACTATAAATACTGCAAGCTGCTCTCTTAGATTAGTGTTTCATCAGCAACAGTTCTCTGTTCTGAATCCACCTTTTTGCATGGGTAATTTTGAACATACCGTGGTCAATGCTAGAACTCAGCTGTGACTTTCACAGTACACAAATCACCTGAAGCAGCTATTTGGGAAAACGTACAAACTGCTCAGTCCATACACACGGGAAGACTGTTTGAGCTCAAGTTACAATTTAATTTCTTTGTAGACTTTGATCAATGATGAATCTTAACTTTTATCCATCATGTCTGAAAACTATTATCTTATTTATTAAGAGTGATTTAGTGGGTTAATAAAACTGATATGGCAGCTGGCCCTGTGATAAGAAGTTATTGCAAGTCCCTGAACAGCTTAAGCCTATCATTTCCTTATCAGCTATCATTTGTGTCACTGTATGCTAAAATCAGAGCTACAAGTTGGGTAGGAACATATGTTGCAACAAACCACTGAAATGAAAAGAGAAAAGTAGTTCAGTTTGTTTTATAAAATGTTTGTTTCAAAAATTGAGAGTAAATTCCTTGTAGTAACTGATTACATTTTGTTAATTACACAATAGAAATAATAAATAGTAAAGTAAAAATATACTGAACATACACATAAAAATATGCACATAAAGAGATGGAAGGCATTTGAAGATGTAGGTTAAAGATGTTGTTAGTGTGTGTGGTATGGGTATACCACTCTCAGCAGGGAGCCCAAAATAAGCTATTCAACTAATGGCTTGTAAGAGAATAATAATCTTTATACCCTATTACCCTATGGAGGATGCCAGACAGAGCTTGAAAAGTAAAATTATATTATTTTTAATAGTTTCTCTGTTGTGAATGGAAAGCTCTGGTTTTTAGCAGTAAAAATTCAGCTGCACATTATTGAAGAAAAACAGAATGATACCTGCTGTGCCTTTAATACACACAGAATAGGTACGGAAAATATCTATTCTCTACATAGCAAGATGTCTCAGTGAAAAATTCTGATATCCTGGGACATTGCAGCAGGAACAAGTATATTGCCTACCATTGGATACTTGAGAATCTAAATCATACAACAGTTCCTGTTCCTTGCCCAAATATATTAATATTAAATTAGATGTGGAATAATCTAGGTATTGAATCATAGCTTTGTAAAGAAGTAATGCTTCTCCTTGCTTCTAGCCCACTCCAGGAGGGAGGGAATCCCAAATGTATGGTGAAAGTGTGAAAGTCTTTATTTTAGAATTTTTAAAATGGCATGTGATTGAAGCTGGGAGATTTAAACTGTTGGAATGAGACGTGGGCAGCTGCTTGCTCAAATGGCCAATGACAAATGGACAGATAACATTGTTAAAGAAGCAGTCACAACTCTTTTCTGTTTTTTGTCCTGTTCAATGGACACCCTTTGCCGTATAAAGAGTACGTAAATGCTGTCATTTCAAAGAATCCATGTCTATATATTTTTCAATACCTCTTGTCACAGTATGAAAACAGGGGATACACTTTTAGCTAGGGGTTGACAGGTGCCACAGGGATCTAGCAGTGTTATGTAGACTCACCAGCTTCAGGAAAGCAGTAAAAGCAATGGTGCCATGTTCCTGGCTGTAAAATCCTGAATGCACACAACAGACTGTCCAGAAATAGAAAAATTATTTCAGCTGAGATTGTTGCAGCTACCTAGGCTAGGCAAATATATCATCCTAATGAACATTTTCTTAAGCATAATTTGTATCTAATGCCTTGAACCAGCTTTGTAAATATAAAGCACGTGAGGGTTTTGTTCTTACCTGTGACAGTTCCATACAAGAACAAACAAAATATTGTGGTTTTTTTTTTTAATGGTCTTCACCAGGAAGAGCAGAGATGAGATGAGATTAACAGTTTTGTTGATGTGTTCTATGAACTATTTGCTGGGGCTTTGTGTCTTAAGAATGTACTTCTTCAAGCTTTTGGGGAGTTTGAGTGAAATTGGTGCAATGTGTTGCAAAGTGGTACTTTGAAGCAGCTCAGTTAAACCAGCTGCCGTGGTACTTTCAAGCTAATATTAGTAAAAAGCAAATGAACCTTTGTATTCTATCTATAGCATTCTTAGACAAATTTGGTTTAACACAATCAGTTTTTAAATCTATTCAGTGGAATTTATAAGACAAGGCCTATCAGCTTTGATAGATGAACTCAAGTAAACTTTGCTATGACCGCTAAGGAAAGAGCTGCCCCCAGCTTTTTCTCCTGCCCCTCTCTCAGAGGTCACTTATTTCGTAGCAAAATCAGTGGAAAGCAGTAAGTAGCTACTGCACAGCCAGTTTTCTTAGCACCAACCCAACATTTTTTGCCTCTTTGGTATCTTTGGTTAAGGTGTTGGGTGTGAGCTCTGCAAAGCCTGAGCAATAGACATGTTTCCTTTCTCAGTCTCTGTTTGGGAGCAGTAATCTCCAGGAGAGCAACAAGGGAGACAAATGTGGATGAGAAGTACCTAAATGGCTTAATAATTTAGAGTTAGCCTACGATCTGACAGAAGAATGGATGAATGACATATTATCATTATTAGCCATAGGTGACTGAACACTAAGTTGTAAGGTGCACTTGCAAGCTATTTTCAACTGAGAATGGCTCTGAGGGACTGTCTAAATGTAATGGTGGCAAGCGAGATAAAACGAACCGAATAGATCAAACCCAGCACCCTTTCAAACAAATGAAGTAAAGTGTAACAGAAGGCAGGTTAGGGAAAAGAAATGTAACACGTTTCTGGGTTTTCTGTTCTAGCTACATTCTTCTAGTAAGAGAGAAAGTATTTTAATGTTAACCATTGAATTTGGAACAAATCATGACAGTACTCTTTTCTATGAGACTAGATTTTGTTCTGTGTCTATGAAAGGAATTGTTAGACCCTGTTTAGAAAAGTTTGCAGAAAGCATTTAAAATCAGTCTGACAGTTTCCTTTACTTTCAATTTGGCAGATTGGTTTACTTGTCACTCATAAATGCTCCTCTGTTTTTTTTTTTTTCAATTTTCTTTTTTTTTTTTTTCTGCAGATATCATTATTATGGAATTGGCATTAAAGAAAGCAGTGCATATTACCACTCTGTGTATTCTGGAAAGGGCTTAACCAGGTAAAATAATTTCTGAGACTTAATCGATCAGTGAAGGTCTAGCTATAATCTTCCCTTAGGAAGGTATATGTAGGACTTTAATTTTTGTTTCTACCAGAACTAGAATTGCTGGTTATCTTAGTGCTTAAAAGGTTGATCTCTATATTTTCACAGAGTCTTCCAGTTTGACCCCACCACAATCTTTGTAGAGCTGTCAACTTTTAACAGCAGAACATTTGTTCAAGTTTATATGGGGGAGCAAAATCCCATTTCCAGAACACTTGCCTGATTTTCTTTGCCTGTGTGTCACCCTGTGACTTCTTTCCCCAGGACAGCTTTCCATTATGAAACGTCTGGAAAATGGTGTGAAGCTGGCACCTGTGGGGCAGGAGGGAGGGGTCAGTGTAGATTAATATTTACAGGTCCTTTGACTGGCTAATATCAGTTTAAACCTAACCCAGGAAGCTCTAATTATATTTATTCAAGGGACAGCTAGCAGGATCAATACATTACGATAGCTGCCTGTTGGTTTGCCAAAGATTAATAGTTCGTAAAACAAATGTCTCTGTTCACATATGGCTTGAATGACGGCTTTCATTGTCTGTGGCAGTATACCTGGATAAGTGGGGCTCTGAGAAAGGAAAGGAATAAATGAGTTTATAATCACACATAGAAAATTCGACTGGTGGCAGATTTAGGTCATATCCAAAGAGACCTTTTCCAGGCAATAAGACAAGTGTACAAATTGAGGGCAATACTGCCAATAATGCTTAAAAAGGAAGGGTTCTCTCCACAGCAGTACTTACAGTGAAATAGATTAGAATATCCTATTTATTTGTCTGATATGTATCCAGAGCTGTGGAGTGTTGCTGGTACATAGTGCATTTTTCTTTCATAATACAGAATTATCTTGAACAAATTGTTCATATTGTTGACTCAAAGACAGTTATTTTCATTTAAAAGAAAATAATAATTCTTAATCCTCAGCTTTATGTCAGGCAGGTACAATCTAGTAGCAATGAGTGCAAAGAAAGTGGAGCTCTGCAAAATTCCCCAAGGCTGGATTTCTGGAGGTATACACTCACATGAAGATGGCATAGATACTCTCTAAGATTTTCAGGACTACTCACTAGATTCACTAATTAGGAACCTTTTATTTGTGTTAGGACCTGTATGAGATGTTGAATTTTCAGGGTCCAGCAGTTCAACTGCCTCCCTATCTGAATTAAAGCAGAAGCTCAGATTCTCATTTTTCACAGTCTGGCCCACCACAGGAGCTGGATTTTTCTGTGTGAAGAGAATGGTGCAGTTGCTTGGGGTTAAGAACAAGCTTCTGGATAATGACAGAATCAGGCAGTGTAGGGATTCAAAACTTCCAATTCCTGGCTGCTGCACATAGTGATCCATAAATCTCTCCTTTACGTCTCTTCTAGTCCTTGAGGCTCTGGAAGAGCAGTGCTAGCATATGCTGACTCTCATTTTTGCTATACATGCAGTACATTTTGCTGAACATATGGAAATCCAAGGTCCAAAACAAATGCATCTAGCCTTGAAGTTAATTAGATTCACGTTGTAATCAGCTGAGTGATGCCTTCATTTATACTTAACTCTCAACATGCAAGGGAACTGCTAGGTAACATATGCTGGATTGTCATGTGGTGGGAACTGTCAGGCACCTGTGCCAGGCCTGGGCAGAAGGAATTCCACAACTGCTCAGCCTCTGGATTTCTGAGAGCATCTCAGAGAGCAGGAAATAGCCAAGGAGCATCTCAACAGCAGGAAACAATGATATTGCCACTAATAATTATGAGACTTCATATTGCCCACAGTATCTTATCAGTTGGCAGCTAGTGGTACAGGAAATAGCAATAATCAAACAACATTTATCATTATACTGATCCATTAGAATCGCTATTATTGCACATTGTCTACTTTCACAGTTATAATTTAAAATGCTCTTTCTGGTTTCTGCAACAAAGGGTTGTCTGATAGTTCAATGACTTCATTGGCAACCTCTCAATTGGACTCCTAATAGGACATTGACTATGCAGCCATATATGTTTGCCAGTTAAGGAATCTTTTATCTCAGAAATGTATGTCATTAGATCAAAATAGTACTGTAGTGAAAAAGAATGGGAAATCACTATTATTTCTTCATTTTTCCAAGAAATGTCATTTTTTAATTTATATATATATATGTGTGTGTGTGTGTGTGTGGTGTGTGTACTTTTTCTACTCTGAATTTATTAAGCTCTATTAAAAACTGCATGTATTTCCTTATAAAGACACTATGGACTTGCACCTATGCTACCCTTTTGCTGTTTGTGAACTGGCAAAGATCCAAACAAAACCACGAAACTGGATTTTACACTTTAGTGTTTAGTCAGTGGTCTTAATCTTCATGTTTTATAAGACATTAATAGGTTTCCTATTATCCCTAGGCATTTGAAAATCAGCGGAAGAAGTTAAGGAAAAAAAAAACCATAAAAAACCCATAAAAAACTGCAATTGCATTTAGAAAAATGTGATAATTTTTCTAATAGATCATACATCTATATAATCTCTACAAATGTTCTGCCTAGGAAAAAATAATCAAATGTGTTTACTTTCAAAGGTTCTCTGGAAGCAAGCTTAAGAATGAGGTAAGTGCTGTAATCTGTTTCCTTTTACTTGTTATATTACAAGTATTATGTGACCTGTGATTTCCTTCATATTTCTTTCTTTGAAAATTGCAACACTATTTTTCATTAAATTTTAGACTGCATAACCTTTTTTAACAAGGCTGAGTATTTGTTCCTCCAAATATTCAAAGAAAAATAAGGTTGGAAAACATCTTTTAGGGTTCCCATTGCAATCCAGTTACCCATAACTGTATTTAAGCAAAGGACCAAGCTCTAGCTTTATTTTTTTTAATTGTTACTTTGGCAGGAGGGCTTTTTCAGAATCTTGTATGCCTGACTGAAAGCTGAAAAGAATTTTTTTTTAAATAAACTGAAAATTATGCCTCCTAGTCAGTATTGCCTTCTTCTATTTTTTGCTCTTCATGACTATTTGTTCTTATGCCTTTTGCTTGCTGGATGGGACAAACAGCAGCTTTGACTAACTTCATATCAACCTTATAGCCTTCCACTGTACTTGTTCTGATTTTACTATCTTTAGAGTAAAATAAATCATAAAGTGTTGTAAATGGTGTGTTTCCAATTGCTATTGGAAATATCCCTTCTGATGAACCCTGCTTTGTTGGTTTTGGTTCTCCAGCCCCCCTCAAGTAGTCTACATTTTTATTACTGTATACTATGGTATAGTCCCTGTCATTCTGGTCATATGAATAGTAGAAAATTATGGATTATTGTACATTAAAGGTTAAGGGTTGCTCACAGTATTTTTATTTGGTGCTGAGTTCAATTGGCATGGAATATCCTGCATCCATATTATTATCTCCTGAATCTGCAAAAGGACATAGGGACATCTCTGCTACATTGCCACAAAAAATGTCTCTAATGTGCAGTACATGTTGAAATATGACTGGAGATGTTTGGGATACTGCTAATTGGCACAGGCCAAAAGAATGCCAGAGGCCATTCTGAGTGATACTCTTCCAGTATTGCTTGGGAATGTTTCCTGACACCATTTAATTTACTAGACTAAATATACCTTCTGTGATCAACTGATACACAGCAAGCCTTTCACCTTTTAATTTCCAGATAAGCAACTCCTAGCTGATAGCAGGCATTTTTATTTGCCCCTGAGAGTGTAGTTTTGCTCTATTGATTTTCATCCCCCTTATTACCATTATCTCAAAGCCATCCATATCTTTCTACATGACCTCTTGGTCTTTCTCTGTTGATGATTTCATCAGCTCATGTCAACCAGTTTGATCTATGAAATGGTCAGTCACATCAGCCCCAAGTCTGATCTTTGGGAATTTTCACTTCAATCCCTTTTCAACCCAGTAGTTTCCTTGTCAACAGAACTTGTTAGCATTTCAGCCAGAGTCAGTTTCTTAAATATTTTTACATTCTTTTACAAATCCCCACTCTTACCAGCATAACTGATCATTTCCCATGGTGACACCATGTCAAGTATTTTAGTGAGGTTCAGAGAGATTAGATCTGTTGCATTTTTCCTGTTCAGATAATTGGCTATCTTATCAAAAAAAGATAGTGCTATGCCCCGGGATATCCCCAACATATTCATGAACACTACTGAAACATTCATTCGTTCAGAGTTTTGAGATGGAATATATTGGGTTTCTTTGGCATAAATGGATGCATATTTTCTTCCATCTCTGATGTGGCATTGGCAGTCTGCCTTGGAATTGACAATCCCACAAATCTGTCTTGTAATCTGTCTTGTTTCTGACCCAAAGATCCTCTGTTCTCCCAGAAAAAAATGTTCACAGATAAGCTGGTGGAAATAAATGAGAAAGGGCACATCATTGTGAGTTCTTGATTGTCTAGCTCAATATTGTCTGAAATTATTCAGGCAGGTCTTAAGAGAAAAAAAGTCTTTAATGGTCAAAACTGAATTATAATAATCTCAGTGTACTGAAATTTTGGCATTATATTTTCATTAGTGTGAACAGGCGATAGATACATCCTTTTTCATTTGCTTGAAAGAACATGCAATTAGGTATTCCAAAAAGATTTACAACAATTGCATGAGGTGTAATTCTCAGTGGGAACTTAAAGACATTGAAAAGATGTTAAAGCACTGATTGTCTAAATATACTGAGTAAATGGCATTTGAATGAACACTTATTGAGTGCCAGGGACACTGTTTACTTCTGGTATGTTTTATCACATTTTCTAGTATTCTCTCTGTAGGGGGAGATATCAGCAAATTCTTTTATCTAAACCAGTTAGTGCACCATTAGAGTCTGCATGGTTAATTAGGCAGATAATATTACTGTCATTATCTTAATGTTAAATGGCCATTAGAAACAGATGGCATTAAATTGAAAGGGCAAGTGGCAGCAGGTTAAAATATTAAGCCTAGAACTGAGGCACAGTTAAATAAGTCCATTAGCAAGGTAAAAAACATTGCTGGTTATCTTCCCTAAAACCTCCCACCACAATCACTGCCTTTTTTTTAAATGAACAAATCCCTTTTAATCAGAGCTTTTAATATATTTCATGGGTAATTGCATAATAAAATCATTATAATTACTCCTGTAAAAAAAAAATACCCTCCTTATTGCGTGATAGGCAATTATAACACTATAGAAGCATTGACATGAAGAAGTACTAATTTTTCTAAATTTCTACAATTTCTTTTACTTAGAGCTTTATGTGTATTTGAATAGTAGATAGCACAGGCAAAATTAGTTTACATGATGTATGCTTTTGTTTTTTTACTGCATGTTTTGTCAGACATATCACCCTACAAAAATAGGGCTATATTTATGTTGCATAAGACAGTTACAGGTATGGTTTTCTGAATTTAGTATTTGAGAGAATTTCACTTGAAACTAGCTTCCAATTTATAAGTCAACATTTACAGAAAAATAGTCACATTTGCACACTTTTACACTATATGTTGCACTATATACCTACCATTTCCACTTCAGTGAAATTTGCCTGTAGGTAAAGGGGCAGGAAAAGGTTACTTCCAGTTCCATTCAAATGCCTTATGCAAGATGATAAATTTCATGCATTAGTACAGAAGGAGTCTGTACAGAAGTAGCAAGATTTTCCACAGGAATACATAGAAGGCCAGCTTGTAGCTCTGCACACTAACTTTACGTAAGGACTGGTTAGGCTAAAATAGAATGAAGGGTTTAAGCCAAATGGTCTTTAGATTTGAATGCAGTCCTATGAGCATGACTACACTTCAGCCAGTAAGAGCAGAACTGTAGCACAGATTGTATTTTCTTCTCTTGAGGATGAGGGTTTCACCTTAATCATAGCATTTGAGACCTGAAGAGTGTTCTGTGGAGGTTATATATAGACATATATTTTACAACCTTCCTGAGCTGGGGTCCAGATCTGTATAAGCATCAATATTTTTGAAGGATTATCTGAATGCAAGTATTGTGGAACCTTGAGAGACTCATTAAATAATATGCAAGTTTAGCATGAGTTTTTGGTTTCAGATGTAACAGTGTTAGCTATTTCAATGTTCCTGTTTTTTCCCTTCCTTTTCAGGGTGGTTTTACTCGTAAATATTCTCTGAGTTCCAAAACTGGAACACTCCTCCCAGAGTTTCCAAGTGCTCAACATCTTTTGCTTCAAGGGTGCATTTCTAAAGACAAGGTAAAAAGTGAGCTCCTTCTCCTCTGTCTAAGAGATCAAAAATTTGCCACAGAATGTTTCTTCATATCTTAGCCTTTGAGGTATTGACATGAAAGAGCCAGAAATGTCCATAATCAAACAGAGGTGACTGATTTATAGAAGGGGCAAACCTTTACTAACACCGATTAACCGGCTTTCCAATGGAAAGGTGGTTGAATTATTTACCTATTAACTGACCCAGTATTTTACAAACTGATGGTATGTAAGACGGGGAGAGCAAAACAAACAAATAACTGAGAGTTGTATTCTTTACAAATGCCTTTGGATTTAAAGTAAATTTTGGTCTGATTAGAACAGGATAAATAATTCACAACAAATAGATGAATTTTACTGTCTTTCATTAATTATTTGAAAAGCAGCTGAAAACCTAAACATGTTTGGGTTTGTTTTTAAATTAACTAAATCATTCGATCAATACTAGGTATTACTTACCCTAAGGATAACTCCTCAGTTGGAAATACCTCTATGTTTTATGTCTTTGACTTTTTTACTGTGTGTTACATCTGTGTTGTTTCTTGTCCCCTTATAAGCTTACATTGTGCTAGAAATCCTTTGACAGACATTTTGAACTTTTCAATTTAGTCTTCTGTGCTGGTGATAGTGGTGACTGGTGAGACGTTATTTTGAGAGCCTCTCCTCCTAAGCTGGTTCTGAGAAGGTAGTGAAGCTTCGCATTCCTGTAGGGAGAAGCTAAACAAAAGGATTTCCATCTTAGCTGGAAATCTTATAATTCATAAAGAAAGCCCAAGAACTGGTATACTTAGCAGTGTGCACCACCTGCTGCTATAGTCTCCATCAGTGAAGTGACATCTCTCATATAGACAGCATTCTCATTGAATTTAAATCTGACAAATGTTCGAGGTTCCTTGGAGACCCAACACAGCAGTATAAACAAACTGATTTTTACTTCTCCAACAATGGAGAAAAACTGGCAATTCATTCTCTCTTCATTTTTGGCTCAGCAGCATTGTGCATGACTGTCTGGGGGCAGACTTGCCGAGTTATGAGGAGACTGTGGGAAAGATGAATTTCTGTGTATCCTGCATTCTCTTTCCTTGCTGCTCTTTTCTCATTTCTTGTTTTCTTATTTCCTGTTTTCTTTTCATACTGCCTTTTGCCTCCTTCAGCTTATCTGACCAAAGGTTATTGAAACTAAGATATGTAGCTACTCTGTTGAAGACAGCCCATACATGAAGTTTGATTCCTGCATTAAACTCTTAAGGAGTTGCTTGCAATTCAGATGTCTGGAGACCCCATAAATACAGCAGTCTGCACTAAAATAGATGGATAATTCCTGCATTTAATATTTCTGGAGAGAACTTACCCAACCTTTATACTTCCATGAACTCCTTTCAAAAATAATTCTTTAAAATGTTCTTGAGTCTCACACTTTGCTATTGCTTTTCAAAGATACGTAGTTAAGGAAGCAGCTCTGAAAGTCAGAAAGGTCTGGTTTCAAAGAAATCTGCATCCTGAACCTATTGCAATAAGATGCAACCTTAAGGTTCATTTGAAATCTGATAGTGGTTTGCTGGAGAAGTTAACAAACTGTAACAAACCTTCTGTGACTCAGGACCACAGAATGGTTTTGCAAGCCCTTTTCCTTCCTTAAATGAGTTTGCATATTTCTTGTCTTATAATTTACTACTATTTTTTTTAATTACTACTTTTTTTTTTTTTTTTTTTTTTAATAAGGAAACACTCCATTCAGATAAAGTAGCTTGATGAGATGAAAGGGAGTTCTGCTTTTAAAAGTTGAGTTCATGTGAGGCAGTGATTAAACTTTGACCAAATGACTGGCAGCTATTTTCTCATTTGTCCAGCTAGATGATGTTTCAGAACACTCATAGACGCCTATAGTAGCCTAATGATTAACTTGCACTGCTCTTTGGGATTAATCTTAGCTTCAGAAAGGTGAATTTACTTTACCATCTGACTGACTAATCTGGCTATTGCCTTACTTTATTATCCACATTTTCCCAGTGTATACAGGTTCAGATGCTACATGTCTGACCACAGCATCAGTGCTTGACTTAAATAATGCCCTAAATAATGCTTGAATAATAATGATATAAAGCTGTTGATAAAGCTATAGATGAGTGATGTCCTCATCACTTCTGGATATAGAGGCTGTCTATCTGTAAATATGCATTGCAATGCAGTTCATATTATGTGTTTAAATACTAGCTACACAAAGCAGAAACTTAGATCACCATAGCAGTAAAGATTTAAGAAACTCTGTTAAAGAAACTCTCTGTTTAATATTTCTTTCTTCCAAAACAGGTAGATACTCTTATCATGATGTACAAAACACACTGTCAGTGTGTCCTTGACAATGCAATTAATGGGAACTTTGAAGAGGTAAGGTTGTTTGAACACACACTCTTGGTACATATGGATGGGAAGTCAAGAAAGCATGATTTGTGTCTATGAATCTGTTTCCTATTCCTTTAGATCCAGCATTTCCTATTACATTTTTGGCAAGGAATGCCTGACCATCTTCTTCCTCTGCTTGAAAATCCCATCATCATTGACATTTTCTGTGTCTGTGACTCAATACTGTATAAGGTAAGTTAAGCATTTAGTTACATGAATAATCTCACCCACAGCAGAGCTTCTGCATCTGTAAAAAGATAGAATGACAGGGTGACCTGATTGCTTTCTGCTGTAAATCAGCAAGGAAATAATTGAAATCAAGAAATAAAATGGGCACCTGTAAGAGCTGAACTCCAGTCTCAGCTCAGCTGAACACCTGGTGTTTGACCGAGGACAGCACAACAACAGTGAAACCTTGACACACTTGCTTGAGTGTAGCTAAAAGAAATGATCATGTGCTCACTGACAAGGCTGACTAAGGTAATCCTGGATGAAAACTGAAGCCTTGTTTTCACTGAAAATATTATTGCAATTTCTACCAGAAAAGAGAGTCTGTGGCAGATCCGTAGGGTGATTCCACATGCCAGTCTGTGCTCACAGGTTATGTCAGGCCAAGGTTTCATGCTACCAAGCTGAAACAATACTGGGTAAAGACATTCTTGCCCCTCCTACCAGCTGCCTTTCATTTCTGTTCTCTTGCTGCTACATGTACCAGCAAAACTGCTACATTCTAAACTGCTCTGGGTTTAAATAAAAAAAAAATCAAGGAATACTTGTTTTGCAGAGCTTTTGTACCATAGGAGTTCTTTGATCTAACTCATGGCATGAGCGCATAAAAAGTTCAAACTAAGTGACCCTCAGGAGTGTTGCAAGGTCAGGAATAAATTATGGAGCGCTGGGGAAAAAAGAAAATTATGCCACCAAAGTTTCCTGAGTTTTCCATTTGGAAAGTCAGATCAGATGATTTAGTTGATGCAAAGTACTTTACGTTTCTTTGATAGGACACGCCATCGAAATAGGGAAGGATTCTCATGTAAGTGTCTCTCTAGCAGATTTCATATCACATATTGATGAGAAGAAATAAGTATTGGTTTAATAGTAAATACCAACCAGTCAAAGCAAAAGATTTGAAGTTTTTTAACTCTGATGCCTTATTGTAATCTGTCTTTCTTTACTGCACAAAAATATGGGGGAAGATCCAGAAAAGATGAAAATATGTATTTCTTAGAAGCATAAAAAGCTGTAAAGTAAAAAGTGTTTTAGTTAGCATAGTAAAGTAAAGGTAATTAGCATCAAGAATCATAATTACTACCCAGGAGATGGGTCATTAAGCCTCATTTACTTGTAGAGGTTATAATGTACATTGAGTTTATGGGGTTTTTCCTGCTCTAAATGTGTTGTCTCAATAGATTCAATATTAACTTTATTTATGATAGATTTAATGTGACAGAAGAAGAAATACTAGAGGACCATTAAATTATAAATTGAATAAGACCGAATTTCTCAGAAGTTCATACATTTGCTATTTGCCTCTTCTTTGTCCCTCACTATTTCTTATCTATAATCATGTTAGATGTTCTTGACATCTGACAGAAGGAATAAGGAATTACATTGGATTGTTATCAAACTATTTACATTAACAGAGAAAGGAGATTTCTTGAATACTGTCTAACAACTTTGTCCTCCATGGTAAAATTCCCTAGGGGGCATGCCAGATGGCACAGTTTTTGTCAAAACTGTTCCACACAACACTTAGCTACAGAGAACTCTATGGCTGAACTCTGAATGTCTGCAGTGCCATGTCCAGTGTGATAGAAAGAAGAGTCAACAGCAGTCAAAGACTTGAGAGATATTTGAGTATCTGCTTTACAGAGACATGGTGATGCTAGAAAAGACAAAGTGTTTATGATCTCACTGCTGGTTTCCCTTCTTTAAGACATGGGGGATAGCATGCCTTGTTTGATTTCTTTCTCATTTTACTGCTATGAAGATGCACAATAAGTATATGAATGTCTCATATGTTCCTGTCTAATAGTGATTGGAAAAATCCAGGCATATAAATATCTAGACAATAGGTTGAATGGCTTTATTCTGTGTAAATTTTCTGCAATCTAAGTAGACAAGACAGACATGAATGAATGAATGAATAAATGAATGGCCAGTGGAAGCATGATGTCATTTTCTGTTAACTTTTTGAAGGTTCTTACAGATGTACTCATCCCTGCAACAATGCAAGAAATGCCAGAAAGGTAGGTATTTGAAAATAATCACGGTACATTCTGATTTTTAGACCTATTCCAGATAAATACCAGTAATTCTATATTCTAGAGAAATTTTCTCACTGTATTTATGCTCATTTTTAGAACACTAGAGTATGTATGGCAAAATAGTGTCAGCTCTGAGGGCAGCTATAGAACAGCTTCAAATATTGTATAGCATTTTAGTGTCCCAATTGGCCCACAGTTTTTCCCAGAGGAGGTATGTGTCAATATGTAGTCAATATATAGATCAGTGATTGGTCATTTCCTGTTTCTTTTGGTAACACCTGAGGAGGAATTTCCAGGTATGTTCAGAAGTCTGTTAGCCCTAGATTGAAACCCAATTATTTAAACTAATGCCACACAATTTTTATTGGTGATTCTCTAAATCACTTTTTGTTTTCCTTATAGTTTACTGGCAGATATAAGAAGTTTTGCAAAAAACTGGGAACAGTGGGTTGCTTCCTCTTTGGAAAATCTACCAGAACGCCTGATAGATAAGAAATTGCCTATTGCACGAAGATTTGTTTCCTCCCTGAAACGACAGACATCATTCCTACACCTAGCACAGGTAAACAGAATAAGATTATACATTCCAAAATGTGTCAGTTGTAGTCATTGTACCGTTCTGGCTATGAGATACAGTGCATTATTTTTTCAAGGTTGACCTTCAGCCATGGAAGACTTAAATCTTATAGTTTTAACCATGAAATTAGAAAGTGACCATAAATAGATCTAACCACAACTTCAAACTTTTGTACCAGAAAAGAGAGCAAGGAGCATGGTTATAATGAACTGCCACCACAGGAACTATTTTCAATAAAACGATAAAGTGGAATATTTGTGTATTTTGTTTAGTACCAAATTGGAAAAATACCGGATGATCCTTCTTGTCTAGCAAAGATTCGCTAGATCTAAATAGAAAGCCTTGTCCATGGTGTTCTATTTCTATTTGAGTTTTGAGTGGAAAGAAGAAATGGGAATGACAGCTAGTTGGAGACTCCAAGGCTTTGTTGTCAGGATACACGTATCTGCAATTAGGAGTCACCTCCATGTGATGGTTTTGTAGATTATCCAAAAGGATATAATGCCTTTCAAGAAACTGCCTTCCGTGCTGGCATCTTGAGCTTTGAGGTGGTAGTCCTCATGAATAACTGTAGGCACACCAGAGATTCATCTTGACTTGGTTTTCTCTTTCATAACTACAAAAACAGTATATAGGTGTTCTTGTGAAGATAATCTGATAGGAAGGCACATTAGAAGAGCACCAGGAGTCTAATGAAAGGGAAACATCTCATCTGATTTGTGATGATCATGCCCAGCCATGGCAATAAAACCCAGCCATGACAATAAAACTAAACATAATAAGATTCTTCTCTGAGCAGTTTTTGGGCGCTCCCCAGGTGTGGGCCTCTGCTAGTTTTGGCTGCCATAGAACTAATTTTGTTCATCATGGTATGGGTCTATATTTTGGATTTGTACTGGTAACTATTTATAATTCAGGGCTATTTTAGTTACTGCTGAGCAGTGTTTACACACAGCCAAGGTCTTTTCTGCTTCTTACATCACACTGCCCTCAAGTAAGTTGCAAGTAAGCTGCAAGTAAGCAAGTAATTTGGAGGTGCACAAAAATTTAGCAGGGGACATAGCTGGGACAGCTGGCCCCAGCTGATCACAGGGATATTCCATACCACAAATCAGCAATAAAACTGGGGGGAAGTTTGGCAGGGGACCTCTGCTCAGGGACCTGGCTGCGCATTGGTCAGTTGGTGGTGAGAAATCGTTTTAATTGTTATTCTTTGGTGTTTCTTTTAAACTTTTAAATTATTATTGTTGTTGTTATTTTCATTATTTCTTTTTAAAAATATCAAAATGTTTTTAACATAACCAACACATTTTCTTACTTTTATTCTTTAATTCTCTCCCCCATCCCTTGGCAGGTTAGGGAGTGAGTGAGTGGCTGTGTGGTGCCTAGCTGCCAGCTGGGGCAGAACCACAACAGGGTCTCAGCATTTTACCTTGCTTTCTCTTGCAGATTGCTCGGCCAGCTCTTTTTGATCAGCACGTGGTGAATTCCATGGTGTCGGATATTGAAAAAGTCGATTTGAATAGTATTGGTTCTCAGGCCCTCCTTGCAGTTTCAGGGAGCACAGACTCTGATGGGGAAGTTTACAGTGAATGTAAGTCTATGGTGATATATTTTTACCATTAAAAGTACATTCTTTCATTCCATGCCACACCAGCCTACTTGGACTGACTGAGACAGGGCACTCATAGACTCTGCTTTCTCTAATCTAGTTCACCAAAAACTTAACAGTAGGTTAGAAAACAAATTGATTGCCCTGGCATGTCCTACAAGAACAGAAGCTTGTGCTGAAAAGTTTTGAAGTCACAGCTAGATGACTCTAAATGGTTGCTGAAAAATTAATCTACATGTCAGTTGCAAACCTCGTTTGAAACTTGGCCCTATCCTATGTGGGGATATTGAACAGATCAGTTCTTGAAAGTTTTGTCTGAAATTCCATTTCATTATGGCCTAGCGTAATGAATAATTGAGCTAGTTAACTTTTTTAAAATTAATCATATTTTCTTCTGAAAGTTGAGCTTTAAAAATATATGTAATCTTCTATTTAGTGTAGCAGCTATTTTCATACACAAAATAGAGAGAAGCATAAATTCTGAGGTAGTTAATTTTCATATACATTTTTGAAAAATAAATATAGTAATTTTCTCTGTTAAAAAGAGAACTTTGTCATAGGAGTCACGTTGATCAGAGTTTCAAGAGCTGAAAGGAATAGCAATGTGTTTTCCTGTAACTATTATTACTTTGATTATGAAAGTTGGTTCTCTTTAATAATTCACAATCCTATTCACATTTTCATTTGAGTTGCCCCTTTCCCATGTTTTGTGTAGTTATTTTTATATTTTACTCTTTGTCTTCTTTCACATTGGTTAAAAAAGAAAATAAGAAGATAAATAGCTGGTCTTTCAGGCACTATTTTGAAAATGGGAATTGAGGAAAATAAATTTATATCCTTTAGTGAGAAACTTGTAAAATATGAAGGAAGCTGCAGATCTGTAATATTGCAGAGAAAGCTTTATTAACAAATGTAGTACTAGAAAGGTTTGCAAGATTGAATCCTCAAAGGAATGGAAAATACAATAATCTTTTTTTGCTTTTATTTTCTTATAAAGCTTCATTGTCTTACAACCTGTGTCATTGTAATGTTCAAGTAATTAAAATGCATGTGTGTGGTGGATGTGTGTGTGCTTGCTTTGTTGGGGAATTACTTATTTCTTCACTGCTCTAATTCTTTGATTTTCCTTTCCATGCTACAATATTGTCATATGGCTGGTGAGTGGCTTTTTCTCATGTTCAGAATAGAGTGCAATGATATGTTCTCCTTTTTACATGGTAGATGACTCTATTACAGTGTTCCAAGAACTGAAGGACCTCCTAAAGAAGAATGCCACTGTGGAATCATTTATTGAATGGTTGGATACTGTGGTTGAGCAAAGGGTTATCAAGGTACCTTTCAAATGTTCTGCCTGACTCCAGACCAAATCCTACTCCCCTAACTCCTTATGCAGTCCCACTGATTTTCCACAAGGAATTTTCATCTTTGCTCCTATCTCCTTTACTGTGACAGGGAAGTTTGTAATTTGGTGTCAGAGGTTCCTGTGAAATTAGTCCAAATTAATCATGCTGAGCAGTGTTACATGTGTGACAAACTAGGAGGCATTGTAGCTAAGACACCAAAGTCAGCACTTTCACAAACTGTACGTGACAGAAACCCTGTGAGCTTATGTGTGCTTGCAGAATTGCAGGGGCATTGCTCTGAGTAAGATGAGCAAAAGTTGTTCCTTAGAGAAGCAATTCTCTCTCCCATGGCATTTGGGTGGTACTGTGTGTGGTATAAGTTGCTGCTAGCCTCCTGAAGGATTTCTACATTTCTACATTTCAGGATGGAAGATAGAGTTTTGTAGCTTTGTAAGGTACTTAACTCAGTAGTTGATGGTTTTGATGGGATTCCCCTTCCCATCTCCAATTACCAAGAGGCATTTTCACCACAAGTATTTTATAGGCGTGTAGTTATGTAGGGATTAATAAACTGCAGCTCAGAACAAGAGAAAGGATTTTTTCTTACAGCTAAGTAGAATATATTTACCCAATTTGTGACTCTAATTACTGTAAACTAGTGGAATAAGGTGTTACATATTGTTGGCTAATAGCTGAACACTGGTCTTCTCATCAGACTTTTTAAAACTGAAAATGCAATATCTCATTCATCGTTTTAGGTAGGATCTTGATATGGATGGGTGCAAAAGGATGAGATAATACAATTAGCATCAACTGGCTGGCAGAAGAGAGACTGCCACTTACAGAAAAATCATAGGCATGCCCTTTTTCTTTCTTTGCCTGTTTTCCCAAATTTCAGTAGAGGTAGTGATAATTACTTTCTTTTTAAAGTACTCTGAGTTTCCTAACAATTGCTGACACATGAGCAGCACAGTAAGGAGCTTTGAATTACTCAGGGCAGCAGAGCCAAAGTCCTCATACACAGAGAAATCTCCCTAGGCAAAAAAAAAATCCCATTGAAGCTGAGTAATCTCAATTAATTTTAGACTGGAGTCTAAATTTCATTCCACAATTTAGAAGACAAATCTTGATAAGCAAATCAGGCAGAAAAGGTGAAGAAATTTTCTATTCAGCATCTACTATGTGATACCATATTATTAAAGGTAATGGGTATGCTTCCTAGCATTGTTTTCATGTACTTAAGGGAAGCAGTACCAACAAGTTTTGATATGAAGCTAGGTCAACCTGAGCAGAAGCTTATAATTTACAGAACACATAATCCTTCCACTGCTGTTTGCCTTCTGTTCATGCTAAAGTGTGGCTACTGTCAAACTCACACAACAGCTTCTTTCTGCTTGCTGTTTGAGAGAGTAACAGGACATTCATGTTGCCACACGAACAAATCACTGCCAGAGCAAAGTGACTGTATGAAATGAGCAGTAGTATTAAAAGCATCACTTTGATCATCATGATGGTATCACACCATTCTGTAAGAGAAATTCTGACCAGTATTACACAGATTAAATTAAAGTACAAAGACTAATTATGGAATAACAGTGTCAGAAGGTGGGACCTTTCCTTCCTTCCTTCCTTCCTTCCTTCCTTCCTTCCTTCCTTCCTTCCTTCCTTCCTTCCTTCCTTCCTTCCTTCCTCACCTTTGTAGTTACAGAACAACTTGGCACCTTTAGTACTAGACTGTGGAGTAATTTATGTCCCATCAGGGCCAAAGCAGTGAGCAGTTTTCTTCATCTGACATGGACAGACACCGTTCTGTGATTGCCCTGGAAGGAGAGAAGGCTGCTGTTTTACCAAATTAGGTCACAGAGGGAGATAGTTTGAATCAGGCAGCTTGATTCACTCTGCCCCATCACTCTGAGTTAAGGAGTCCTTGAGGATATTCAATTCTTCTCTCCTGTTGGCAGAAAGCAAGTGAGCATACCTAACAGTATTTTACTGTTCTCTTTCAGGCAAGCAAGCAAAATGGGAGGTCTTTAAAGAAGAGAGCTCAGGACTTCCTTCTGAAATGGAGCTTTTTCGGTGCTCGAGTCATGCATAACCTAACTCTAAACAATGCATCAAGTTTTGGTACCTGAGCTTTATAAAAACACTCATATTTTGTACATATATTTTAAGCACTTACCAGCTTTCCACTGTTTCCTATTCTGAGGAACACATCCTAATCTAAAAATTCTTTGATCAAAACCACAAATACTGTTTGATGTATTTTTCAAACTAATATTTCACAGTAAATGCTAGCAATATTTTTTGCTGGTAACCTGTGTCATGAGGTTGTTTGTAAATGCTACTTTTCTTTTGACTTGCTGTTTTGATACTGCTTTGATACTTAAGTGCTAGAAGCTTTGTTTTAATATGGCAATGACTGTGTATCTCAGTCTAAGAGACAAAAGATTTAAATTATTGTTTTTACCTGTAGATCAGTTTGGTAAAAAAAATAGTGTTGTATGTAAGTTCTTGTGCATGATATGTTTTAATAAAAGCAAAAGAAATTTGGAAAGTCACCACACACTTAATTCTGGAATACACCAGATGATCAATTTAATAATTTGTGGCTTTTAAAAATTAAGGGTCACACATGCATCTTTAGGAATGTTTACATTTTTGGGAACACTCAGAAAGAACATTATATAAGAGAGAAGATGGCAGAGCATGTGAAACAAACTATAGTATGTAATGTCATATGTTTAGTCATAGGTACATTGTTATTTAAAATTCAGAGGGTATTTGAAATGACTGGATGGACACATACATTTTTTTAATGTGATATATCCTTGAAATAAGGTCAAAGACTTTACCAGTTATTGTCTGGTTATTTAACACAAGACAAACAGAAATAGAGCAGAGGCATTCTAGCAGACTTCAGCCTTATCTAGTTCCACTGTGTGCTCTCTTCAAGTATAAAGCATGTCTCACTTTCATCAGTATTTTTCTTTGATGTAATTAGTGGTCAAATAGCCTACAGGACAGTAAACAATTGAGCTAGGTGGGCCAGTGCAAAGAGAGATTAGAGCTAGAAGTTAGGCACTATTCCTTGTTGGTCTTGCCAGGTCATTTAAAGTCCACAATTATTTGTTTGTTTCACTGGCTTCTTGTGGAGTGGTGAGAGATGGTCACAAAGATAACTCAGCTACTCTCTCTCTCTTTCTCCTCCAAAAGGTTCTTTTCATTTGATCCGCATGTTACTAGATGAGTACATCCTGCTTGCCATGGAGACACAGTTCAATAATGACAAAGAACAAGAGCTCCAGAATCTACTGGACAAATACATGAAGAATTTAGGTAACTAGATCTTGCTTCTTTTGCATGTACTCCGGTATGTTTAGAAATTGATGTATTTGTTTAAGCAGAAGCAAGTTTACTGTGTTCTCCTGAGGCTGTGGTTATGTGCAACATTGTCAAATTCACCTGAGAAGTTTATGATCATTCACTCTGCAATTCATTCCCACCTTCCTACCGCAGTTCACTAAATAACATTCTATTGGAATGTCAATACTAAGGATCACTGAAGTTATCTTGGATACAGCAAAGACTTACATCTGAAGGGCCATGAACTGAAGTGTGAAAAGAAGTATAAGTAGCAGAAAGGGCAGGAATTCCTAGTTAAGTTTTTCCCCAAAGTTTAAATATGTAATTACAACTTGAACCAGGGATCTATTAAATGTTACCAGAGTGCAAATATCCTTTCAATGTTGGAACACAAGTTTGGAGCCCAATTTACCATGTAGTTGAAGTATTACCAAATGGAAGAGAAATAAAATTATTTGAAAACAGTATTCTTAGCATTTTCCATCTACCAGGCTTCTTCAAAGTTAGGCAGTTCGAAGTTATATGTTCCAGGTCCTTTGCTAGAAAAAGAATGAAGATTGATTTGAATCAAGTTTTGGTCCAAGTTAATCATTAAAAATCCATTGAAACTTCAGAAACTTGCAGAATTATTTTTTATTGGCATTAGCACTGGCAGTCAATCCTTAACTTTTTGGTTGTTGCTACTCTAAATCTGCACTTTGCTACAGGAAACATGAATGGAATTTGTCTGACAGTAAGTGCTGCACTTCTTTCAATTCAGCCTCCAGAGGAAAAACTTGGCCTGTGTGACAGTTGCCTTATCCTTGTGTGTTTAGGTGAAGTACTTGAAACCATAAGGTAAAATCATGGTTTCCTCTGAAGAACAGCAAAACTGACTTTATCAATTGTCTGCAAAAAGCTGAAGACTCTTTTCTCTAGATGTCAAATGAAAAGAGAGTTCAGGCATTCTAAAGTTGCCATTGTTAATTCTTTAGGATGAAATGTCAATCCTGATTCACCCTTAATGCACTTTATTTAACTTCATTGTTGACATTTACTTCAAGGGAATAAATCTGATTCGTACTTTCGATATGATGGCTTCAGTAAGGAGCTGAAACTGTGTGATGTAGATCTGTAGTCAGGGAAAATGATACAAACAGAACTTGTGTGCAGTGAGGATAGGTAACAGCCAACAATGGTTTTCATTCACCCTTACAGATGCAAGCAAAGCCACCTTCACTGCATCACCAAGCTCTTGCTTCCTAGCAAATCGCAACAAAGCCGCTCCTCTGCCCAGTGACACCTCAGTCAAAAATGAGTGCCTAGGAGAGCAAACCTACGTGTCCTTGTCAGCTGGCCAGCCCAGCAGTGCACCTTCTGGCCTCAACCCCTTCACCACAGGAGATGGGGAGAGTATGCAGCTGACAGGTGTGTATCAACTCTTCCAGCTTCTCCTTCCCTAATTTGATTGTTAGTCTTGCAGTTAGTGGTAACGTGTTGCTGTAGGAGGAACAGTGACCACATGCATTTATGAAGACCTCCAGTAAACAACATTTCATGAGCTCACCTTGTGTGGTGATTTACAGAAGTCAGCAATTGTAATTACCCTGCCAGTAATAGTTCCTCTTGGAAAAATGGTTAAACTATCTTAGAACTCTTGGCTTGGTGAGGTTCTTGTGAATAGAGAATGAGCAGTAAACCTGGAGCACATAAGGAGCACATAATGTTGGGAATTCCCACTGAGTGTATAAATTATACATTCATTATGCATATATTATACATATATTCTCCAGCTGACCTCGAAGCTGGAGAATGAAAGGGAGAAGTTTTATACCCTGAAGCCATGAAATAAAAGCTGTGAATTATATAGGTGGGGGGCAGTGCATATCTTTTGTAAAGGTTTCAAATGATAATCTGCACTTCATTAGATGGTTTGTGTCTTAACAGCAGTACTGAGGTATGGACACTAATCACAGTTAATGTTTATTTGTTCCAGATCAAATGGAGCTGTCTCAAAGCGCCGGTCACCTCATGACTCCACCCATTTCACCAGCCATGGCCAGCCGAGGAAGTGTGATCAACCAGGGGCCAATGGCTGTGAGACCTCCCAGTGTAGGTCCCATGCTATCGACACATTCACAGTGCTCTTCCTACTCAGAACCCCTTTATCAGACTCTGTCACAGACCAATCAGAATTACTATGGAAACAATTCCAACTACCAGGCTATGTTCAGGACGCAGGCCCATTCCACTTCAGGAGTTTACGACCACAGAGCAGAGCCCAGCCGATTCAATGCCTTGAGTGAACAGCAGTTCTCCAGAGACTACTTCAGCAACAGTTGTGCTGTGTCTCCCTACAATGCCAGATCCCCTTCCAGCTATGGTCCCTCCAACATGTCTCAGGACACACACAACATGCAGTTTCTGAATAGTGGGAGTTTCAATTTCTTGAACAACTCAGTGTCTACATGTCCAGGAGCAGCTTATCCTGCTAACGCTTCCAACGGTATTAATACATATTTTCTTTTTCCTTTTGTTTCTCTTTCATTGCTGGAGTAAAACACTTTTTCTCCGCCTTTTTTTTCTGTGGAAGATGTATTTTGGCTTTTATTTTTACATTCCTGTTTTCCACTTTTCTGATAACACAGAGAGGTTGTAAAGCATCTTAATAAGCTACTTAAGGGTTTCTTTTCCTCTGGTGAATCCTCAGTTGACTTCAAATGCATCTGCTGCCCTATGTAATCTTCCTTTGGTATCATCACCAAATCTTGCATAAAGGAAGCAAAACCAGGGTGATCTTATGGTTTAACAATCCCTTGAAAAGCCCCTAAGCATTTGCTGTGAAACAGAGCAGACACAAGATAGCTTACCTCAGGGATCAGCATAATGGATCATTTGAGTTGCAGGGTGGAAAGAAGTATAAAAATGTGCACTAGCAATAGTTTGGGACTTTGACCCTCTCATTTCTCATACTTCAAATGTAAAATTACTGCTTCAGAGGTATAGTCAGCAAAACACCTCCCTCTTCTGGAGGAAAGGCACAGTGGAAATGTTACTTTCATATGGATTTGTCTATGCAGGGAGTACATACTACCCTGCAGATTTTCTTTCCATGTATGCTTTCCTTCATCATAAGCTTCAGAAGGAAGCACTGAACTGTGCTTATGACTCCCCGTGGTGTCTCTTAAGGCCAATGATTGCAGGCCATGTTTGATTCTGAACTTAGAAGGAAAGAAACTGAAGACGTGACTGAACCCTTATCATATTTTGGTTTCCTTGTTACCACCTCTCTTTTGGGTCATCTTTACATATGCTGCTTATTTTCCTGAGCTGTGTGTGTATATATCTGTATATATGTGTATATGTGTGTATATAAATAATCTTATTGTGAAGAGCTTCATCCAGTAACAAGTACTATTTTTCCAAGGTTATCACAGGCTCATACACTACCCAGTAGTTTCATTCATCTTCTTTTTTTTTAATCTTCAATTAGGATATTATGGAAACAGCATAAACTATTCAGAATCTCACAGACTTGGAACAATGGTGGACCAACACGTTTCTGTAATCAGCAGTGTCAGCAGCATTCGGCCTCTGCCATCCTACAGTGATGTACATGATCCACTGAATATCTTGGATGACAGCAGGAGAAAACAAACAGGCTCCTACTACTCAGAGTCCTCACCTTCTATTGCCTGCCGGACCCCTATGCGTAAGTACAGCCAACAACTGAGGAGCAGCTGTGAACTTTTAGTATCCCATCAAATGCTGAGTGTTTAATTGCAGCTCACATACACAATATATGAAATGCAACATAGAGATGAAGCAGCTTGGTACTTAGGATGTGTTTTCCTTAAAACTGAGTTTAATAAATTTGCTTTGAGGTCTATAATCCATTGTCCAGGAGCAGTGGAATGATTGGCCTGGGTTGCACAAAAACGTGTGTTAGGAAGCGCTTTCTGATTGTTAAGTGAACTAAAAATAGATTGGGCTTTTCTAGGGTCTCTTGGAGATGCTCACTGTCAAACAGATCAGATGAATCCTGGGTCAGGGGTGTCTCAGTATATACTTCCCGTGCTCCGGTCCTCCATTCTATGCTTCAACAACTGTGTAATAGGCAAAGCTCCCACTGACAGTGAATTTTAGGCAGAAATGTCTAATCCCAAAGGGTTTATTTTGGTATATGCTTTAAACAAATAGCAGCCAAGTTTGGTCTCACATTCCAAAAAGGGTTGCATGAAAGATATGAACTAGAGCACTTTATTTCTACACAAGATTACATCTTCCTACTGCTTACCTGTTAATCCTGCACAGAACATCAGACATTTCTGTCCTTCAGATGATGTGCCTAGTAGATAGGAGTTTCCATCAAATGAAACTGGATTGTGATTTCTGTTAAATCTAATAAATTGAAAACTTGCAGTGATGGTAACCTTTTTTCCCCACAGCTTCAAACTTGCAAACCACATCTTCTTCACAGTGTATGTATGGAACATCTGGTCAGTTCCCTTCCCAGGAAAATCTGGAGGTCCATGCCCCACCAAACAGAGATATGGTGCCATCTTTACCACCAATCAACACTGTCTTCATGGGAGCAGCTGCTGGAGGAACCTAACTGAGAGAGACATCTGTGCCCTAAGCTTACTTTCCAATCCCAGACATTAAGGCTATGATGATAATCCCCTCCCAAGTTGGTGGAAGATAAAAGTAGTACATATAGTGTTAAAGAAGCCATCTTAGCAATGTTATCAGCCCTCCACACACAGACAATAACTATATTTAGATTGGGTCCTGCTTATGAATCTCTCAGGATTGTTCTCACCATTACAGCTTTTCGGTCAGAAATTCAGGGTAAGCAGAAAGAGACAGCGATTCTTGCATGCAAGAATAAGTTGTAAAGAAATTATTACATCTATTCCTAATTTATTAAAAATGCTATTTTAGTCTTTCACTTTTATCTTTTTTTATATATATAAAATGTTTATTTAATGCCTATGTTGCTCATTATTTATTAGGATCACAGAGTAACTGTTTACTTTCTCATATTTGACAGATTGTCAAATGTATGTATCCTACCTCCTATGGAAATGTTTACAAGGTCAGTTTTTACTGTTTTAAATGAAACTAAGCCAAACTCTAAAGTTTTTTACTGTTGTGCTTTGGAAAGTCAATTTCAAATGTTTAGTGCCTACTTGTGTAAGTGGAAGTCCTCAGGAAATAAATAAAACATACTATGGAAATTTTATTTCTTTTCCTCTTACAATAAAACCAACAAAATATGCAAATATCATAAGCTGCAGTAGCCTGCTACTGTAGCTGGATAACTGAAGGAAATGAAACTATGCCACTAAATGTCATGAGATTTCAGAATTACCTCTGGTATGAGCCCAAATTTTTTTCTGATGGAAATCCATAAAAATAGGTTCATCAGCTTTCACTGATTTAGGGAAACTGTGTAAACTGAAACTGAAATTAATAAAGATTATTATAAAATTTTTCAACCCTTCAATAGCTATTTTAATTTTAAAAAGTGCCTTATAGATGCCATGATAATCTGTGCACAAACACACATTTGTTCATGTTTCTGGAGAAGCCAAAAATATTTGCTAGTGGTGTTAGAGAGGACAGAGAACACACAAAAAAATTTATTGCCATTCATTAATGAAATAGCAGGTGTTATTTTATGCTCAGATTATCCCAACACCAGATTCAGGTTTGGATTTAAATCCACTCCCATTCAGTCCATTAAATATATGCTGAATATTGTGGAATTTAAGAAAAGTGCATTTTTGGTGGAGGAAAATGGATGATATCAGGATGCAGCTTTTCTTTCTAATTCTGTAAAACTTCCTTCAGTATCTTTCTATCATGAGAAATCTGCAAAAAAGCAATAAAAAACATTGACTGGACTAGGTTGTGAATAACTCTGGATATGAAACACTTTATGTAGAAAAAAGACACCATAGTTCAGTAATTGAGAAGTGGAAGACTGCAGCTCAATTGCTTCCTAATTCAGGATGAAGACTTAGGCTGTGACCAAAAGTACCATAATGGTGCAAGAAAGCTTTGGTTTCTATACAAATTCACAATGAGATGTAATGGTAACACAGATTGTTCAATATTTACTGGACAAAGCTTTGCAGCAAATGAAGTAAGTACTGCAAAAGAGTTCTTTCTTTATGACTTTTCAGGATGTATTTTGTCCTAAAATTAGTCCTATAAAAGTCAGATTCCCTCCCTATGTATGCAGGTCACCTCCATGGTCAGTGACAGGAGAGGAGAAACCTCCTGTTCCAAGGAATTAAGATGGCAAGGGGATACAAAGGTAAGGGATATGCCACTAGGGATATGCCACTATCCTGAGATCCTTGGCTCCCTCAGCTAACCAGGGACATGGCACCAATAATTGATTTAAGGTCAAAACTTCCAGGTTGTTGAATGTATGTGAGGGGAATATGTAGCATTTAGAGAAAGTAGGCAATCACTAACAGACAGGGTCTTAGTCCATTAGGCTCTACATAAAAAGAACTCTGTGTACATAATTTCTCAAATGGGATATGGGATTTATATGCACCATTTCCAGTAATTTTCTTGTTATGTGAACCATTTTGCACTGGGGTTTGTTGGGTTTTTTGGATTTCCCCGCCAATAAATTACTGTGTCTGCACATCATCTGAGATAAGATGTGATTGTATGTCATTAAATGTACAGATTCTTCAGAAGTCTGCAGAACACAAAGTTGCATAAAGTATCACACTGTTGGAAATTGCCAATATATTCTAATATTCAAATAGCCAGCTGAGAGAATTCTCTCATTGTGCTGCAGAACAAAACAAACCCATCACAATTGTAACTAGCAAAACCAAATGAGAAATTTCCATTTTATGACCCATTAGTTCAATCAAATAAATGATTTGATGAATTCAGTACATTTTGTCTGTATAAAATGAAATAACTCATAGCTTTTGTGAATAGCACATGGGAAGACTATTATCTTTTGTGTTGTAACAGCATTACAGTAAAATTATATGAAGAATTAATGGAGTCACCGTTTGGTGGTTTTGTATTAGTAAGTTCAGTTGCATTTCTGTGGATGCATTAATACATTGGTTTTAATATATACACGCCTGGAAATCTCTGTTAAAGATTGTACTTATTGAGTACAATCAGTGTCAAATGAATCTTGCCTAAAGGAAAAAACAAAGCCTTTTTTTTATTTATTTTTTGAGAAAGAAACATGAAAAATTAAATCCTTTTGATCTATTTGTCAGTAGCAATTACTCTGAACTAGTGCTAGGAAAGGCAAAAGGGGTGGGTGAGCAAGTCAATTTGGCTTCCACTTCTAAAGTAAAAGTGTTTCTAATAAAAATTGTATCAACCAAAATGAAGCAATGTTGGAGAAGAACCAATTGTCTTGTGTGCCATGAGCCCATGTCTTCCCTGTGCAGAATTTGTGCTGGAAGAGGGGTGCAGTTCTTTTACTCTGAAGGTAATTAGGACCATGGGAATATTGCTCCAAACTCAAAATTAGCGAGAAAGTTGGCTTTGAGCTTTAAATGTGCAGTGAAAGCACAGTGAAATAACTTGCAAAAGGTGAACCTGTGTACTGTTCTGTCATACCACACGCCAAATCACTGGTCAGATCAGCATCCTGTCTCCATCCTGTATGTAAGTGATTGTTGGTCACTGAGATGAGGGGAGTCTTTGGTGCAGAGCCATTTAGCAGAACCTCATGCCTGCTGCACACTATTAGAAGGGATAGGAACAGATGTTTTGTATGATGCAGCACAGTATTTTTTCCCTCAGTATGGGGTCACGACTGAGTGGACTTTAGGCTTATGGAGAAATAAACAGTGGTACAAACAAACCCCCACTCTTAGAGCACTTGGAGAAAACCGGTAGAGAGGTTATCAGTCTTAGAAGAGCAGATATTTGACCCTAAAAAATCGATACAGGTCATTAATGACATACCTGTGGACAGAGTTGTACTGCTACAGGCTGGGCATCCCACACCACCAAAATTACTGTGCTAAAAGTAAAACTGCCCATCAAGCAAAACTTAAAAGGGTTGAGGCTGCCTGCTAGTGATTAGATCAGCATAATTCAGGAGGCTGAACCTGCTTTTGAAAACTGAAGATAGATTTGAATTTGTTTTCAGTTCAATATGCTCCAGGTTATAAGTAACAGGCTTTTGTATTAATAGTTCTGGGCTATGGTTTAACTGAAATCACTAACCTAACTTTAACGTTTGGATTAAATTCTTTATTAGCCAAGGAATGTAGTTTGGGCAAGGATGGGTTGGTTGATAGGGGACTTAGGACTGTTGCAAATAAGGGCTGGTAAAGTGATGGTAAGTTGCCTGTCTGAAACAGGTTGTAGGTTTAGTTTTTAGGATGAACTCTGTTTGTAGGATTTGGGAATGGCTATGACTGGGTTTATGAGCTTGGATTCAGGCTACGATGTTAGGTGAACCTGCATAATGTCTGAGCTTGGCTTGTGTCTTTTGCCATAAATGTTTGCATGGTGTGTTTAACTTAATATAGTTAATTCTTGAACACTTGATGCTTTCTTCCCAGTGATGTACTCAGGACAGAGCTTAAATCTGATTTATCTTTGGCATAAGGGTTAACTTCAGAGGGTGAACATGAAGCTGAGACCACAAAATGTTGTTGGATTTAGAAGTGTCCATCAAGCTTGACTTAATGCTGCTGCTTAGAGGGACCCACAAGCTATGCTTAGTTCTAGAAAAAAACAGAACTTAGAGAGAACAATATAGATTACTATTGTACTCAGAACTTTCATTATGATTGACTTAGAATAGGCAAAAGTGAGCTGTTTCTCCATGTTTCTGCATTTTTAGCAGGGGCTGTTGAGCTTAAGCAAAGCTTACTGTCAGACCAGATGATCTAGTTATAACATCTTCAAGGTCTAGCCTTAAGACTAGACTTAGAAATTATTTGAAATTTACATTTGAAAGTGAAAGAAGATTGGCCATTTAGGATAAAGCCAGATCTAGAAGAAACAAGTGAGACTAATTTGGAGTTTTAGGTGATGGAGATCACATTATCAATCATAATTCTGGCATAGTGAAATCTGAAGTTGTGGTTGGGGCTCAGGCCAACATGACGCAATGAATCTGAACTAATTATGGATTTAAGACCTTCAAGGGTTTATGGTTATTATTGACATTAATAAGAGTCCTTAGTTTTAGACAAGAAGTAAAATCTAGGATTAGGTCAGTAACTGTGTAATGCAGGATCAATGCATGTCTAAGTAGTCATTAGCTGAAATTTCTTTGATGGAAAGGAAATGCATCTTCCGCAGCCTAAGACAAGAATGATATCTTTAATGGAAGGACTGTAGGACCTGCATCTTCAAGAGAGATTCTGCACCATTACTTACAGTTAGACCTCGAGTAACCAACACTACTGGAATGGTGAAAGGTCAGCAAAGCAGGAGATCTTACTGCAAACTATGCTGCTTCCATGGTCACCAGACATTTACAACTACAAGTCTCAGCAGAATCCCCTCTTGCAAGGACCTGAGGCCTTCTGCTGATGAAAGCATAAGCAGGCAAAACAGGAGGAAAGCAAAGCTGGGATCTGAAATATCATG